ATAGATACTAAACAGAACTCTTTACGTTGAATGGATCCATACCAGCTATCAGGTTTAAACTTTCCTCCCTTAACTATAGAGAACAGGTAAGGAAGACTGGGTGTGCTCACAGGAGCTATAGCAAACTTGAGATGACGACTAAGACCTGGTTGTCCTGTTAAATCAACGCAGTGCTGTATTTCTAATATGAGCCGTTTGAGGAGAGGCTTTGAGAGTGATACTGCATACACAGCACTCACTAGGACAGTATTAGGAGGAAACTCGAACTCTCCTCCTACAAGAGCAACCACTGCTGCTTCTACTGTCTCAGAGGACAGTAAGCTCTCCTTTTCTACTCCAATCCTTAGACCATATTTCTCCCAATTCATCAGTTGAGGTTTGTCTCCTTGAATTAAGAACAGCTTCCTCTCTGCTACCTGGACATCACTCAGACAATCCAATTTATCTGTCAGTTATACAAAATATATACAGTGAGTACACACACAATTGTATACACTCAGTCAGTCAGTCAATAATACTCTTACCCATTGAAGGGATCAGGTAATTAAATTGTAGTCCAATGGAACTAGTCTCTTTGATGGATTGTTCCTCTAAGGATGTGACTCTCTCCTGTAGTTGTGACTTCTCCTTAATTAGTTTGGTTGTATACAATTCATTATCAGACACTTTAGCTCTAAGGTCTATAAATTAACAGACTATTAATAATTATTATTAATTGATGTTGATACACTAACCAGTAATGATCTGTTTCTCTTTGAGATATTGCTCCTCTATATCAGCTACTTTGAGTTTCAGTTTCTCATTATCCTCTATACATTAATAGAATATTCTCTCATCTAATTTTATGTACTGATGATACACTAACCAGTAATAATTTGTTGTTTCTCCTCTACTTGTGTCTTCTCTTCCAATATTTCAGTTATATATATTTCTTTATCAGCAACTTTAGCTTTAAGCTTCTCATAATCTTCTTTATCACCAATAAAAATACAAAGACAGAAAATAAAATGATAATTATACATTTAGCTCATACAAATTTGCACTGCATGTACAGTAGCCCATAAATACATGTACTATGATTATTGCTAATCATACCATATATGGTAAGCAGAGCTCACTCTACATCAATCTCATTATTTCTAATGCATCCACAATTTGACCTACATGTATATTGAGTACAGGATACTATTTCCATACTCAACATTGTCTAATCCACTAGTATCATAATGTAAACCAGTGCTAATACACACACTCACACTACCAATAACAACACAATACTACATAATAGTAATCAGTTAGTACAGTTAAAGTGTGTGTGTGTTTAGTATCCTATATACCTTGTTTATTGGCCTCAACCAGTGCCTCCTGTAGTGATACTTTGCTCTCATGAGCCACTTGTAGGTCTTCATGTAAAGATGTATATATCTCTGAAGCTTCATTTCCCTCTCTGTCGGATATTCTATTAGCTGATCCATCCACCATGTTCTCGTCTTGCTGTACGATTCATACTTTTCTTGATAGTTCTTACTAGTGAGATCATTACCATCCAGTACTGACTCTACTATCCACTCACCAGCTTCACTATATACTGAGACACAATAAGATACATTATATATTTATAAATAAATGTATTTAATTTATAAACTAATGGTATCATTTATAGTGGGTGTAAATACACACCCACACATACAGTGGTATTGTAGTGTGTACAGTATACAAAATGAATGGAAAATGTACGTCATATTAGGAACTGAAATTTACAAATAATGTACATACTATAAAAATGAGTGGCACATTATTTAATGTAATTATGTATTTAATGCTCATATTCTTACAATTGATTAATATTATCTTACCTAATTCAATTATCATTATTAGTCTATTAGTATCAGTGATTGGTATATGCATCGGCACCTTCTTTCCTCCTCTAACATCTTTCACTTGAAACTTTTCAAATCCTCCAACAATTACTAGCCACACACAGTGTGGTGACATTGTGACTGCTGTGAGTGAGTGATTGTATCTACCAGTAACAGATTCAGGTAGAGGAATCTGTAGATAAAGAGAAGTATACAAGTAATTACTGACACATGATGTTTATACAGTTACTTATAAAAATGAGAAATTGTATCATTTCATATGTAGATGATCATTACATTTATTGTAATTGTAAAATCAATTCTAATCCTCACCATCAACAAACAAAATAAACATTTTATTCACACCATGTGAAGAGTAACAAAATAAGTACAAATTTAACTCTCAATATTAAGAATAGGAAATGTATTAATAGTACACACACACATTAAGGTTGGTCCACAAATAATTTAATTTAATGTGTAATTTTTAATCAAATGTGTGGGTGTTTCTATTGTATTGTTAATGTTTCATCAGTGATAGTGTTATCTACTGAACACACTAACAATTACTACCTTAAGGAGACAATTATTAGCGTGTACTTATTTTAGCGATTTTCATGAAAGTGACATTTGGCTGGTACTTAATTTAGCGTTTTCGATCATTTGGTATTAATAACTTCTAGAAGAATTAAAGGGGCAAGCCTAAGCAAGCTATAGATTATGTGCTGTGATTTACATGTATGAGCTAGCAAAGCAATTGCACAAGTCTAAATACCTTAATACAGTAGATCTTGTTGCATTAATCTTGCTTAAATTGCTTCATCACTGACTCTGCAGCCATTTAACATGTAAAGTTATCTTGCTTACAGTTAGAAGCAGTCACTGAACGAAGAAGATTGTCATCTGCTTTGTTAACCTAGGCTAACTGCTAGAGAAGTCTTTGGAGTTTGGACAGCAGTTTAGTATTATCTTGCTGACCGTTTGCTGCAAGTAAGCTCAGACTTGCTGACAGCCGCCATTTTATCATTGTGATAACACCCACTTTCAATGAGGAAATTAAAATTAGCACGGACTTAAGTTAGCGATTTTTTTAAATCGCTAAAATTCGCTAAATTAAATACCCGCAAACAATTGTCTCCTTAAGGTAATCTATCATCAATATACATCAGTACTAGTGTCATACTCTCAACTCACTTAACTATACACACACACACATCATTACAGTACTATACACACACATACCTTTCTACAACTGTACTGACCAGTAGTGATACTATCAAATAACAAACATTCATTAACTAGTTGATCTCTCTTATCCCGTCCACCAATCACTACTAGTGTAGGTGAGGTAGAGTCACCATTGATAATAGCACTAGCATGATTGGCTCTCTCCATAGGCCATAGTCTCTCATTAGGTATTGCTCCTGGTTTCAGTATCTCCCAGTTCTAGATACATAAACAAATACTAATAATATCAGTTACCGTAAATATGAATAATGGGTGTGGCTATACAAATAATGGGTGTGACATGTAAAAATTAATCCTAATATTTAATACTTTGATGTTAATGAGGTGAGGTTAGTGGTTGTGTTTAGTATTATACATGTACAAGTACTGGAGGTATAACAAATCTATTGGTACACAATATACTTGATAATATGAAATACCATACTAAGCATGACTATACACTGTTTAATTATAAAAATATTTTATGTAGTATCAGAGTTTTGTGAATATTTAATATAATAATACACAAAATACAGTTAATATGAGTACAACACAATATATCCTCTAGTGATAATACTGAGATAATGTATTACTGTACAATACAATACAACAAAATATAATACAACTTACTATTATACTATGTGTCACACTGAATATGTAAACACTGTTAGTACTTGTACTCCCATCACCATTAACAGTCACTTTACCCCCAAACATTACTCCTCTGTTACCGGTAGTAGTAATCTTCTCAATTATGAAACTACTAGTTGGTGGACAACACTGTCCACTGACAGATGGAACAGTAAATTGTCCTAAAATGAAGGGAATGCATTGATCATCTAACAATACAAATTAAAAATATAAAGTACAATGTATAATTGTATATCATTGTACATGTACCGGTAATTTTTTAATAAAAAGACACAATTATTATTAGTAAATCAGTATAATGTATACACGTAAATGTACAAAGCTATTTATTAATATGAAGAGAATCTTACCAGTGGACACATTATAGAGTAACTGTTCATTAGTGCGAACATGACCAGTCTTAAGGTGGTCATATTGAAACTGAGGATGGTAAACAGTTGGTGTAGAACCAAGCCCTCCTATTATGACAAGGTATTCTGCTCCATCAAATTCTACTGATATCATTCCAGCACAGCCTTTCTTCATCAACGACTGTTCAGCATTACTGCATGAAGTCCACTCCATCTTTATCGTATTCAGTACATTCAACATATTGTGGTAACAAATATCATGACCACAATATCCACCGAAATAGTAAATATTAGAATGAGAGGTGGTACAGGAGTAGGCAATTACTCCTAATGGAGGAGTACCTCTTGTTAGGTGAGAGGACCAGTCAGCAGTAGAAAGCTGGTACACATCAACTCTTGAGGTCAGTTCCCTCTTTTGAAGGGAGTCATGAACTTTAGGTAAGTCAACCTGGCTCCCTGCCCACAGGTAGAGGGACTCCCCTATTACAGGAGCTTTGTGTTCACCTCTCATTTTGAAACCTGTAGTAAATGAATAATGATAGAAATGAAGACAATGACTACAGAAGAATAAATAGAAAGAGAGACCATGAAGACAGAGGAGGAGGGAAGATGGTAGGGAGAGATAAACTAACTTTTTCCAGACATCCTCTTCTTCTAAACAACGAGCCACGCCTAACATTCCAAGTAATTAATTATCACTTAGACCACACCCTCTACTCAGTTTTATCCACCCGATCCGGAAACGCTCCCCGGCTAAAACATTCAGAAAAAAAGAAAACGTTCTCGGGTCACTTATGCCGGCATGTGTTTTCAACAAAGCCACACCTAAAACCAACAGTGACACGCCTAAGACTTCAGAAATATGGCGGATCGGGATGCCTCTCCTGGGCCTCTGCTAGTCTGGCTTACCAGACCCTGACACAGCAACTATTCAGCTCAATACGTAAGTATGTTGAAGTTATACAGTATCCTTAGTGTTGCAGGGTTTCTTGACAGGATTGCATGTATTGTTTTTGCATGAGGGGTGGGGGACGAGACTAGCATGAGCTTTGCTTTTTGTAGTCTGACACATGATAATTAGGCTTACTGACAATAACCTTATACACACACCATTACATATTAATGCTGGAGTGTGTCTTTCCATTTTTTGCTATAAAGATTAGTAGTAACCATGTAGTTTAATTTTGAACCAACAACTACAGAGATAATCAGCTAAACATACTTTCTGCATACTTAATTAGGGGGTGGGGCTGAAGGTTTTTAGCTGAAAACTCCATGGTTTTACATCATAAGTCCCAAAAACAGCAATGATGTGCTTAATACAAAAATCAGCTAGTGCTA